CTGGCAAGCTTGACAAAGATTATTACTTTTATTCCTTGAAAAAAGGATGTTGCAACTCTTTAACACATTGACAAGGATACCTTAGGAAAGGTGTCCAAGTCTTTTATGTCAGACATCTAAATAATCTAATTTCACATCAGAAAGAAAGTAATTTTGTGAATTTAAATACGTATTAGAAAGAAAACCATGTTGAACACTGTTATCCTTAACAGGCTTATTTGTAGAATGAACAAACTTGTAAAAACCATCACTTTCCACTCCCTTCATAACCACCTCTTGTGTATGAAGATCTTTCACTTGACAATGCCTTGGAAAGAACTCTATAGAAACCTGATTATCCTATGTAAACTTCAACACATATAACACCCTTTTAGTGATACCAGGAACAAACAACAAATTATTCAACTTAAAGTTTTTGTGAGCAGAAACAAGGCTAGACTGACCACGAAAATGTATGGGTAAAGTATTATCATTCCTAACCTGCATTGAGAAATCATTCGTTAGATGATGTGATGCACCTGAATCAGAGTACCATGAATTATCATCTACAACCTCTGGAGTTGCAATGAGAGCTTGAGGTCTTGCTTGTGGTGAATAAGATGTTTGAGATTGATAAGGTACTGCCACTTGAGGAACCATGTGCACAACACCTTGCTACTGTGAGGTAACAGACCTGGAAATGTACTAAGAAGAAATAGAATTAAATGGCATCATAGGAGTATTGATTTAAGGAATAACCTGAGTGTAGCTATGTGGAATAGTAGGCATGGGTGAATAATAAAGAGTAGTAAATGGAGGAATAGTTGTAAGATTGGCCTGACTGGTGGAATACTTCCTATCCCCACTAGAGTTGGTCCTGGAACTATCATTCCTTGTAGACTCGATCTTAAAACTCATATCAATTCTATAATAGCAATGTTCCACCAAATGTCTCATCCTACCGCAGAGCTGACATTGCGGCCGAGAGGACATACCTCGACCTCTGCCCCTATTGTTGTCCCTACTGAACTTCCCAGACTCAGAATAACCACTGGACTGCCCATACACTGTGGCAATATTAGCAGAATTCAAGTTCACACCAGATCCAGACACATCATTTTGAGCCAAATGAGCAGAAGCCATTATATTACTAGACATGTTAGTTTGCCTAGCATCAGCATCAAGAAGGACAGTGCTGATAGCATAAACATTAGAAGAAATCGAACCAGCGGTTAATACAGTAATTATCGAATCGTATTCAGCTGGCAGATCGTTAAGGATGGTTGTCACATGCTCATGCCCAGAAATAACCTCACCACAATTTGCTAAGTTATCACAGATTGGTTTAATTTTTAGCAAGTATTCTCTCATGCTAATCTCATCATTCTTTTGAGAATGAAGAAGTCTGTTGAAGTACATAAGACGAGAGGTTGTTTTACCACTATAGAGTCTATGTAATGTATTCCATATCTCATATGCAGTATTAAGACCTATAAGATGAGGTAAAACATTCTCACTAACAGTAGAGAGAAGTTAGGTAGACAAAGTTCCATCTTGTTCCTCAAACGCCTCAAACTCCAGATTCACAATAAACTGATAGTTATGTACTAAGGTGGGGGTGTAATTTTATTGTCCATATACTTTTGCAATCTGTGAGTTTTTATAGTCAACACTAGCTGATGTCACAATAGATAATTGTGGTCATCAAGAAAAACATTGATTTTCTTAGAGGCAAAGAACCTATAAGGATTGTTTATAGAGACATTGGTAACAATATCAGTATCTCCTATTGCACCAGAAGAAAACCAAACAGAACAAACCAAAAACAAAGAGCAGAACACAAATCTTAACCAAGGCACAAGAGCAGCAGAAGAAATGCAGCAAAAACAAGATCAATCAGCAAAAGCAATCATCAATTTGAACAGCAGCAAGATGAGAAGATAAAAAAACGGAAACAAGAACACTAGAAATCAGAGAAGAGCACACGAAGCGAGAGGCAACAAATCAGAAGCCGAAAGAGAAGTAATCAACAAATTGAAGAGATAAAACCTGATAACTGATGAACGTAGATCTGCAGAAAAACGGACTGATGAAAGATCGATCGACCAATCGATACAACAGCCGAACACCTGAAATTGGGAGAAACTCGAGCAGGAAGCAAAAACTACCGAGGAATGAACAAAAGACAAGCACGACCTCACCGGAGATTGACTGGAAAAAGCTCTGATACCATGTCTGAAAGTCTCACTGATGAATAAACTCAGATGAACAGAGCAAGTGAAAGAGAAAAAGTAGAGAAGAGCTGTTAACCAAGAAATATTAAGTAATGAACATTTAAACTTATATAGGCCTTACAATTGTAACGGCCCAAGTAACAGAATAACCACCAGGTATAACAAACTTATAAAAAATGTATATGATAAGTCTATTCTAACATTTCCCTGGTTTTCTTCTCTTCTGACATTCGAACCTCATCAACGGAAAGAACACCAAGCTTAAGCAAACAGAAATTAAACAAACGTATATGATAAGTCTACTCTAACACAACATACCTTCCCCTACACATAACACCATCGTTAAATATTTGTATATAGATCATCATATAAAACAAAAAGCAGAATCTGAGGTATGCGATCCTTCGTCTAAAGTCTAAAACTAAAATAATGAAGGATGAAACATCTTTACAGTTATATTTCTCCTATTAACTCTGTTTTCCTTTTGTTCAGTTCCTCTCCAACTAACTGCGCAGCGTTAACTGGACTCCCTTTTAAGACTTAAGTTCATTGCATGGTAATTGGAATTCGGACAAAGAGTCAGTCTGATTTCTGCAGCTGCACGTACTTCTGTACGGATCCAGGATCCAAGATCAAAGGCCCTTGACCTGGAATGTGCCTAGTGATCCTAGATCAAAGTGGTGCAGTGGTGTTATGTGCCTAGTGATCGAAATGGAATGGCGCATTGGCTTGTGCTTGATGGGGTGCGTAGAACCGAGCCTTTCAAGGCGTGGTGGTAACTTGTGCAGTGGTTTCTTCTCTGTGCAGGGCTATTTCTTTCTGGTTAGACCTGATGGAAGCTGGTGAATGTCGTGCATGCTTATGGTGTTGGTTTTTGTCGTGTTTAGAGGGAACTGTGTTCTGATGTTGCTAGTCGGTATGGTTGATCTCTAAAGCTACTGGTTTCTTCTTTAGCTGCTCTGTTTGTTATGTTGGCCTTGTCTTTGTCGGTTAAGGTTGATAACCAATCAAAATTTCTTGGTAGGTTTTTGTGGCCTTAGTTATCTTTCCAAGGTTGGGTTGGAGCATCGTTGTCAAGTCATGCAGCCGTATTTTGTCCTTCATCAAGATGGTGTTGGCTTTATTTTGTACTGCTCGGTTTTTTCTGTGTTGGTTGTAGACAGGATGTACCAAGGGGTGCTGAGGTGCGGTCGCACCCCTAGAAATTTAAAATTCCCTTATATTTTAGATATTTTTTTGTATTTTATATGAATTATTTAATTTTGCACATCATAAAATTTTATAATTTTGTATGTTTGTATCCCTGACACAAATTTCTACGTCCATCCCTGGTTGTAGAGATGATGATTGTGTTAAATCTTTCAGAGTGTCAGTTGAAGGGGCTTGTTGTGACGTTAATAGACACTCAGTCACGCAAAGCCTCACCTAAACTGAAGGGGTTACCACAAGCAGCCAAGACCAAATGACTAATACCAAGCTTGAGTGTAGAAAACCCTGCTGTTACTCGTCTATCGAACTCAACCAACAACACAGTTTGATAAGGGGACTAAGCATACAGATAATTTAAAAGCAGACCATATTACTAGTAAACTAAAGAAAATACTAGGTTACTACCCTACCTCCCCCTTACCCCATTACATATGGGAATAGGGTTTTGTTGTTGTTGTTGTTGATTGATAGTATTTAGAACTAAATAATTTAATGGAATGTTTCTTTATAGGTAACCAAAAATATCGCATGTTTCAACAAAACCAAAGGCTTTTCAGCCAAGGAAAGTTGGCAAATTTAGAGCATATATATTAGGGTCGCCTTTTTTTTAGTATAAACTAGGTCCTGCCATAACACGTGAAAAGTTGAATTAAGGATAAATACCCCCAAAACGAGAACCATATAGTAGGAAAACAAAAATGGAGGAAACTAAGCTAAGGCTTGTTTTCCTCTTTTCTGTCACCCTAATTCCAAAAATATGGGCAAACATTGCTGAATTTGATGATTTTTGGAAGCAACGTCAAGAAGAAGAATGGAAGATTGCGTTGGCCTCTTATGAACCGACCCCAGAAAATGTCACGAATCACCTGAATTTTCATGTCAACAAGTAAAACTTTTTCTACCCTTTTCTTTTATCTCTATCTTCTTCTTCTTCTTTTTACATATATTATCTCGGACAACATGTTGCAGGGTTCTTGATAAAGAAAGGGCCAATCAAACCATAGAATTTAAAGGTGTTATAAATAACAGCACGAGAAGATCCTTACGAGGTAAACACAAAAGGTACAAAGGTCCGTGTATGAAAACCAATCCAATTGATAGATGTTGGCGGTGCAAGAATAATTGGGCTAAGAACCGAAAAAGATTGGCAAAATGTGTGCTTGGTTTCGGCTACAAAGCTCGTGGTGGAGTGAATGGAGAATATTATTTAGTGACTGATAATTCTGATGATGATGTTGTAAATCCTAAGCCAGGGACTTTACGTCATGCTGTGATTCAAATGAGACCTTTGTGGATCATTTTTGCTCATGATATGCACATCAAATTGTCGAAAGAGCTATTAGTTCAAAGTGATATGACAATTGATGGTCGTGGAGCAAATATTCATATCGCATATGGATGTGGTATCACACTCCAATTTGTGCACAATGTCATCATCCACAACATTCATATTCATCATATTATTACATGTCAAGGTGGCCTAGTCAGAGACTCCACAGAACATTTCGGTTTACGAACAGTCGCTGATGGAGATGGAATTTCCATCTTTGGATCATCAAATATCTGGCTCGATCATATTTCAATGTCCGAGTGTCAGGATGGACTCATTGACGCAATACAAGGTTCCACTGCCATCACCATCTCGAACTGTCATTTCACCCATCATGACCATGTAAGTTTTACTTTAAAATACTCACCATGCTACGCATTTCGCTACCCAATTTTCAACTAAATATTTTCGAAATTTTCTTTTAGGTGATCTTGTTGGGCGGAAGCGAAGCATTCGAAAAAGATTATTATATGCAAGTCACACTCGCATTCAACCATTTTGGTAAGGAATTGGTACAAAGAATGCCTAGATGTCGATGGGGATTCTTTCATGTCGTCAATAATGACTACACTCACTGGAAAATGTATGCCATTGGTGGTAGTGCACATCCTACCATTGTTAGCCAAGGCAATAGGTTCATTGCTCCAAATGACCCCAATGCTAAAGAGGTAAAGAAAATATAATTAAATAGTAGATAAAATCCATTTATTTTGTATATGTGATTGTACCATTAATTTGTTTTTTGTTCATACATTTCTACAGATAACTAACAGGAACTATGCACCAGAATCAGAATGGAAGCATTGGTTATGGACATCAGAAGGAGATTTGCTCATGAACGGGGCCTTCTTCAGAACTTCTGGGACACCTCCAACTTCTGGTTTCAAATTTAAGAGGAAGGAAATTATCAAAGCCAAGCCCTCAACATTCGTTAGAAGACTAACTCGTTTTGCAGGGGCACTTAAATGCAAAGAAGGATCCAAGTGCTAAAAGGAACTCTTAGTTCTATGAACATCTACATCCTTTTTCTTCTTTCTTGACTCATAAGAAAAAATCTCCTGTGTAAAATGTTAACATGACCTGGGTTAACATGATATATATAAATGGAATAAATGTATTTTTCTTAAATTTAATAAAAATAATTCTTAAAATCTAAAATGATATTAAAGTTGGAAAATTAAAAGTTTAGGAAGGTTGTTTGGTTTAAATTAGGTGAAAAGAAGGGTAAAATTAGACCAATAATCCAAGCGTAATAATTATTTGGGAAATTAAAAAATCAACTCAAACATTAATTTGCAATCTACGACATTTGTTACAGTGAAGGGCAAATTCGTCACACTCACTTGGCGAGTTTGTCCATATATTATTTTTAATTGACCCAGGTTTATGTGTCCCATGAGGTCTAATTGTTTAATATATTTCTCTAAACTCGTCATGCCCACATGAAGAATTACTTTAAAATATATTAATTTTTTTGTAATTAAAATGATATATAATAATTATAAATTTAATTGTTTTTAATCATGAAACTCGTCATGTGGGCGTGACGAGTTCTGTTTAAATTTAAAATTATAGTTGTTAACTGAACAACGTTAGGCAACGAGTAAAATTTTAAATTTCGTTGAAACTCTTCATGCGGGATGACGAGCTTTAAAGTGCTTTTACTAATTAAAAATTATTTCATTTAGTTTGTAAATGTTTTCATGTTCATATCATTTTTTAAAAAAAAAAATCATGTTCATCATTTAAAATTTATTCATCTTCATATCATTTTAAAAAAAATTCATGTTCATCATTTAAAATTTATTCATGTTCATATCATTTACTCGTCAAGAACAATTTTTTGGTATAAATAAATATTTTCATGTTCATATCATTTAAAAAAAATCTTTAAGTAATAATTAAAAAATATATTAAATTTTGACAAATTTAATAATTTCATTTATTTTGTAAATACTTTATCACAAACTAATAATTAAAATTTACTTTTCTAAATACAATCACTAATAATAATAAATTTACTTATATTTTCTTAATTCTTGATGATGTCGAGGAGTGGTTAAATGATAATGACTTGGGGCTCAGCGATTTCTTTGTGGCCGTATATCTTGTGTTCTTTTGTATTTGTTTCTTGTTGATCTGATGTAGTGTACATCAGTCCACCACTTTGATTTCCACCTTCGAGTGATAATGATGGAGAATTTAAGGTATTTGATGTCATCATTGACGTCATTGACTCAAAATACATACCAAAATCACTAGATGATTGAGCATATAGAAAGTATCTCATGGACCCGCAGTTTCTGTCGAAGGTGGTCGAGAGAATGACACTATATCTCATTCCAGTCGAATCTCAATTGAAGCCTGATATGGAGGATAAATATCGTAACTTGCTTGAGATGCAAAATAATCCGCAGAAGAAGAAGAAGATGATGTTGATAATGATTTCTTGACATTTGCATATTTTGCCTTCATTTTTTTCCATTCGACCCTATATACTGGCATTGTTAAATATGGTTTCCCATTTGCTTCATAATTTTAGAGATAGAGAGATATTGTGGAATTAAAATCATCTAGTACAAGCTCAGAAAGAAATGGTACATATAAATGCCTCTCATTCCATTGTTGTATATATGCAACATGCTTTCTCAGTCAATTCCTTTTATGCTTCCCACGTCCATCAATTTTGTTTAGTTCGTCCATGTCAAATATTTGCATTGGAACCGACTGATGGGACACAAACTATCGCAACACGTTATCCGTGACATGGATTTCAATAACGGTGAAATGAAGTAACAGTGTTACGGTACACCACATGTGCTCTCCTTCAATAAAGAATAGTGTTAGACACCGTTGGATATCCGACTCATAATATGAAATCCAATTAAATTGTAAACATACTACATTAGTATTGACAAGTGTCGTTTTACTGTCAAAATAATTTCGGCTTCTTAAAAATAAATAAATAAATAAAGAGTAGAGTAGGGAAACAGGGTTCGTCCACAAGGACTTTGGTGTTTCTAATTAAGTGAATTTTCTGATTTAGAAAAGGATGAGATAAGGTAAAGTTTTGGATGAGATTAAATAGGGGGTTTAAAAGTTGTTTTTTAAATAATAATAATAATTAAATAAAATAAAATAATTAATTAAATAATTTAAAGAGATTGAGATAAAGATAAACTTATAGTGAAATTAGACTCGAACTTCAGCTTTGCCTCAATTACTGTTGATCCTCAGAATAGATTTTTACTTCGTTATTTGTCGGTTACAGTCTATAGGGCCCAACCCCTGTAACTTGTTTTTCTCTCTTGTGAACCGATAAACCAAAATATATTTTTGATATCAGTCATTTACGGATACTAACTATGACTATCGTCGTTAGCACCAACCTATTTTATAGATCTGGAAAAACCCATCTCGAACTATGTTGTCTCAATAAGAATCTAGCCCGATCTCAATTTCCCTTAGCGGATCGCCGCTAAGTGTGTTCACAATAAGCAAACTTGCTACCAATTGATTCTCCCTCCTAACTGTAAATCAGAAAAACTTTCGAACCAACGTCGACTTTTTGATTAACAAGTGTTTTGATTTTAAAAAGATAGGTCGATTACCAATCTTATTCCTCTAGAAAATTGAGAAAATAACTCAAAGTTATTTTAGTGTTTTTTAATCCTCATAATAGGGATTGAGTCATCGCTTCAGCCCTTGGCTATAGAGAAATTAGATAAGTATGGCAATCATACCTAGCATTTTTGAAAATAAAAATAAAACAAAGAAAAATTTTGAAAAAGAAAAGAAAAACTTTTATTAAAATAAGAGAAAGAAGAAGAATGATTTCTGAATGTGTTTCTAGGCTTACCCTGAGATGATATTTGTAGCCTTTAAAATCCTAAAAATAAGGAAAATATAATTCCTAAAATAAAGAGAATTCCTAATGAAAATACTTAAACTATTTAAACTAAAATACTAAAAACAAAGATAAGATAAAATATAATATAATATTTAAACTAATATCCTAAAAACATGAGTTTAACTCAAATTCGAATTGCAGAAACGTTCGACTGATCCATTCGTCCTTCTAGAAGCGTTGGCTGAATCTTTTAGAAGGTGTTGACTCATCGCCTCGTCAATTGTGTCATGCCCACTAATCCAGTCTTGATTCCGAAAATAAAAGAAATGCATAATTCTGTCCTTTTAGTGCAATTTCCAGAATCTATTGTCCTGCATAGAAAATGAATCAAAACTAAAAAAATCAACCACAAAAACTAATAATTAAGGAGCAATTTAAAGTCAAAATAATAACTAAATAAAACACCTATCAAGTACAAATAAAAATAAATTCTCATAATTTAAAAGTTATACAAAAATTTTAGAATATTTATTGCATGTCTACCGACGATATCAATCCTCATTCGTACATCAATTTTCGTCGCATCAGCCAACTTTGCATCAGTAATTCTATGTCGCCATCTAAACAACATAATAAATACAAACTGTAACACCTCCAACCCGTATCCGACCCGAATACGAGTCATATGTGTCACATTGACTTTTCAAAACTTTTACTTTTTCCAAAAGAATGAATTTGCTAACTTTTATTAATCCAAAATACATAATTTACACAAAAATTTAAATTAAAGAGTTTACAAAACTTATCAAATCTTATACAATTCAAATCTTTGAACTACATGCCAACTAGATTTTATACAATAAAATACATATTATTTATTTCTCTTCTGATCTGACCTTCGGTAAGGAGAAATTGACCTGTCTTGCTCCTCATCGATCTATAAGCTCGTCGAAACCTATGTGTGAAACACTCACACGCTAAGTCGTTGACTTAGTGAGACATGTAAAGATATAATGTAAATTATCACTAATTAACAAAATATGTATATATCATGTAACACAAAACAATAATTGTATGCATACATAAATTATCATCAACATGATTATCATTACTTATATTATTATCTCTACTTCCTTTTTATCATATTAACATCTACTTAATAATGCATGAACATTTCACAATTCATATCATAATATAATACAACCAATTCATATACATGCACACATATCATTATTTATTCCAGTCACATTCTTGTCATTATCACTATCATTAATCTATTTATACATATAATTTGTTCTTAACCTTTGAAGTATTTCATACTATATCTTTCACAAACAAATCATATAACATCATACATGATTTCGTTATGTTATTTCTTTGTTTAGCCCATGCATACTCTTGAGAACTTAAGATATGCGAGTACATAGATGTTGTACACAATGTTATCACCACAGCTCGTATAAATCCCACTAGGGGCGCGTAGAATTTGTCCTGAATGACCACTATGTTCCGAAGGACCATTTAGAACCCTGGACTCTTGGCATGCCAACTATACCTATAGCTCTCATAACACATAACATGGGCATTATATTTTTTATCATTTCACATATTCACATAGGCATATCGTTTACTTTCACGCATCACATTACTTCTCACATTTACTTGTATTCTTTTTCATATAACTCATAGTCATGGATCTTATCTCATAAATATATATTCCCAGCCACATGATCTCATATAATTCTTATCGTTTCTTATACAATCACATAATTCCATCATATCATTTAACATATCTTATTACGTTGACATGTATTCACATAATTCATCTAACAGACATAGCCTATCATGTAACATTCTAAGACAATCACATCATTTATCACACATACATACATTCACATAAATCATATATAGAAATGTACTTACCTCCAAACTTACGCATGGACTCAAGTACATCTATGCATCATATCCCTATATGTTTATATTCACATATTTATGAAACCTAGTATCGGAATTAGACTTATCACAAGTATTAATTCCATAACATACTTACACTTATCATCATGTACTCACCTGGGTCTCAATGGACACTACCAAACTCTTGTTCTCTTGAGAATCTTACTCTGACGATATATCCGAACTTTGCTTCCTATCGATATCTACACAAATACGCGATTAATGAATGACGAGATTCAAATTACTTGATATGATTCATATCAATATAAACTAATTAAAACTCTTATTTCAACTT